TTGGCCAGGCTGGTCTTGAACTCCTGACCTTGTGATCCATCCACCTTGGCCTCCTAAAGTGCTGGGTTTATAGGCGTGAGACTGTAAGCTCCACAAAGATGGGCGTGGTAGCTGTCTCATTCCCTGCCTGGTCCCCAGTATTTACCTGTTGCTTGATTCAGTCACTGATGCTTGATAAACCTTTGTTGAATTAACACATGTTGCTACTTAGAGGGTTCCTTTAACTTCTGCTGCTATTCTTGGTAGACATGCTTGTGCCTGTACATTTGGGAGTCACGTACCAGATTCTATTACATTGAGACCTCTATTGCAACCATCACTGGTGAACCTAGGCAGTGAACTTAACCTGAAGAGCCTTGGGTTCTTATCTATATGGAAGTAGCTTTCTTTGTTCTTCTCTACAGCCAGAACTAGTGACTGTACAGGAGGTAGATCCTGGAAAAATAAAACCTAGAGGAGGTCTCCATTTCCCCATATCTCTACCTTCCCTTTGCCTCCATCCTACCGACCTCCTGGCTTATTCCTTATTAGAGGGAGATATGCTTGCCCTAGGGATTTGTAGTAGTCATTGAGCCCCTTTAAGAATCATAATAGCTGGACACAGTGGTTCACACCTGTAATCCCAACACTTTGGGAGGCAAAGGCAGGCGGATCATGAGATCAGGAGTTTGAGACCAGCCTGGTCAAGATGGTGAAACCCCGTCTCTACTAAAAATACAAAAAAATTAACCGAGTGTGGTGGTGCGTGCCTGTAGTCCCAGCTACTCAGGAGGCTGAGGCAGAAGAATCACCTGAACCCAGGAGGCGGAGGTTGCAGTGAGCCGAGATCACACCACTGCATGCCAGCCTGGGTGACAGAGTGAGACTCCGCCCCCCCAAAAAAAAAATTCATAATAAATTCAGATATGTTTGTTTTGTTGCCTATCCCTGTTCTCACAGCTACTTTGAGGCAGGCTCAGGCCCTCAGTATTTCTTCCCACAAGATTAGAACTAGGTTAAAAAGGAGAGAAATGGCTTTGCTTTTGTTAGCATGATTGTAGAACATGCTATGAAAATGTGTTTGGAACATCAAACTTCTCAGGGCTCAGGAAAGCCATTGACTTTTCTGCTTGCTGTAATTGGGTTAACCATATATTTTATATCTATATATTAGAGTAGTCCTTGGTAAACATTTAAGGTAGCAGCTAGTTGTAGGGAATTTGGAGCAAGAACAGATTCCAATACATTTAAACCTTTGCTGCTTCAGTCAGTCACTGGCGACCCCAAGCAGGTTACTTAAGGCCAGCAGCTTCAGGTCCTCATCTGTAACTCCTTCCTGGGAATGGTCTGAAGATTAAATGAAATTTTACTACTGAAAAGCCAGATCCTTATGACAGGTCGACAGGTATTTAACCAGCAAGTATTCATCTTGCTACAAATGTACTTAATACTGATTTTTGTTAATATTATATAGGTTGGGTTTTAACAGTTGCTCTGCTGAAGAAGTAGCAGAAAGGTACAATGGTTAGTGAAAAAAGCACTGGCCCCAAGTCAGATGGCCTGGGTCTAGATCTGGTCTTGTTCCCCCTGTGGTTATATGATCTTGGACAAGTTACTTAAATTCTGAGCTTCAGGGTACAGTGAAGGCAATAGTAATAGCCTTGGGTGTCACATGAGATGGGTGAGAAGCCCAGAAAGATATTGTTCAAGAAAGCAGTATGTACAATGTGTATGTGTATGGTGGGACTGTTGCAGTGGGCACAAGACTGCTACCTCCATGTGTTGTTAGAAACGGGCCCAACAGTTCCTTCAGTGCCCCGGGAAGAGAGCCGTCTGAGTGGGAATATTGGAAGTCGTTGAAAGTGGCAAAGTCCCTACTCTCCCTTTTGCCCCTCAGAGATGAGCTCCATCTTCTTTTTTTTTTTTTTTTTGATTTTTTTTTTTTTGAGATGGAGTCGTGCTCTGTTATTAGGCTGGAGTACAGTGGCGCCATCTCAACTCACTGCAACCTCCACCTCCCAGGTTCAAGCGATTCTCCTGCCTCAGCCTCCCAGGCAGCTGGGTCTACAGGCACACACCACCGCACTCAGCTAATTTTTGTATTTTTAGTAGAGACGGGGTTTCACCATGTTGGCCAGGATGGTCTCGATATCTTGACCTCGTGATCCGCCCACCTCAGCTTCCCAAAGTGCTGGGATTACAGGTGTGAGCCACCACTCCCAGCTAGGCCAGCTCCATCTTCGTTGTTTGCCCTGACCAATATGGAGATCCTTTCCCTTCCCTCCCCTCCTCCCCTTCCTCCCCCACTCCTTACCTCCCCACTCCTCCCCTTCCCCCTCCTCCCCTCACCACTCCTCCCCTCACCACTCCTCCCCTCCTCTGTCCCCTCTCCCTCCTTTCTTCTCTCTCTTCTTTCTTTCTTCCTCCTCTTTCTCCTTCATTTTCCTCCTTCCTCCTTCTTTTTCCTTCTTTCTTCTTCCTCTAGTTTGAGACATTTATTTACTTTCCCATAAGAACAAACATGAGTAGGCCAGGCACAGCAGCTCATGTCTATAATCCCAGCAGTTTGGGAGGCCAAGGTGGGAGGATCGCTTGAGCCCAGAAGTTCGAGACCACCTGTGCAACATAGGGAGACCTCATCTCTACAAAAAAAATTTTTTTTTAATTAGCTAAGTATGGTGGCACATGCCTGTGTGATTCCAGCTATGGGGGAGGCTGAGGAGGGAGGATTGCTTGAGCTCAAGAGGTTAAAGCTACAATGAGCTGTGATCATGCCACTGTACTTCAGCCTGGGCAATAGAACAAGACCTTGTCTCAAAAAATAATAATAAATCATGGATTGTTATGTCATGATCATGTAGTGGCTAAGTCTTATATCTCCTCAGGAAAATAGAGCACTATTGAGTGCTAGAGACTCTATAGAGAACTTCAGTATTTGGTCATAGCATTAATCTGTTTCCTTCTGATGTGAGCCCAGAGTTGCCTTTAAACCAATACTTTGACTATTTTAAGTAACATCAACCTTTGTTACCTTTTTACCCAAATTATCCTCCCTTGCTGTCTGCATCATTATAAATATAGATGCAGTGAATTTTTAAAAGTAGAGATGGCATTTAAGGGTCACTTGCTTCCTGTTTGCAGCCCTTATCCCTTAAGAAGAGTGGGAGGGGACCACCTGCAGAGCAGCAATGCCTGACAATCAAGTGAGACAATTCATTAAGTGTTGGAACAGTGAAAAACGCAGTAGGGCCACATGAGGTGTGTGCTCTTGGGTTTCATCTTTCTTGTGTACGCTGTGGGAGGTACATGACGAAGAAATTGACTAGTATGTATCCAACCACCTTTTTACAAAAGATACCTCTTTTGAGAGTTTATATGTTTGTTTATTGTTGTTGTTGATCTTTGGAGAAGCTTTTAGATAGAGTGTTTTAGGGAAGAAATATAAGCTTTATAGATTTTATTTCTTCTCACCATCTTGGAGACTTTTTGGCTTGCTTATGAATATGAAGTATGTCAGTATGCAACATTTATATTATTATT